ACCCTGTGGGGAATTTTTTCGGGGATGTCTCCTCTTAGGTGGCTTGGAATCCTCCCAGCTGGTTGGGGCAGAGGCAGCTTCCTTCACCATCCCCGAGCTGAAGGAGGGCACCTCCTACACCATCCACGTGTCCGGAATGATCCGTGGGCAGGAGGGAACCCCCGTGGTCCTCACGGCCAAAACCTGTGAGTATGGAACTGTCAGATCCAAGAGAGTGGGATCCAAGAGATCCATGTTGGTGCCACTTCCATCCTCACCTCCTGACTCTTTTCCAGGTTTCCAAGAGGTTTAAACCCCACTTTTTGTGTTTCCTCTCCAGCGGGAATTCCCGGAGAGTCGCCGAGCGCTCCGGCGGCTCCGATGACACCGGATCCGAGGAGAACCCCATCCATGGCTCCCGGTAGCGTGGGGGACACTCTGCTCCCAGTAGCCACCTCTCCTATCCCAGTGGCCACCACCACAAAGTCTTCAATGAGCCCAGAGACCCCCCAGACCACCACCGGCGTGTCCCCACCGGCGACAACTCCCCCCGGGCCCGGTGAGTTGTGTCCATGTGGGATCTGGACATGTGGGCAATGTCAGGGAAGAACCAAACCCCAGAAATCCCATAAATCCCCTAAACTGCTCTGAATTCCTTGTGAGGGAAGACAAGGAAGAGCCAAATCCCATAAATCCCCAAAAATGCTCTTGATTCCTTTAGTAGGGAGAGTGGGCAATGTCAGGGAAGAACCAAATCCCAGAAATCTCATAAATCCCCAAACCTACTCTGAATTCCTTGAGTAGGGAGAGTGGCAAATATCAGGGAAGAGGCAACCCCCATAAATCTCCAAAAATGCTCTCAATTCTATGAGTACAGAGAATGGGCAATGTCAGGGAAAACCTACACTCCATAAATCCCATAAATCCCCCAAACCTGCTCTGAATTCCTTGAGTAGGGAAAGTGGGTGATATCAGTGAAGAGCCAAACCCCAGAAATCCCATAAATCCCCAAAACTGCTCTGAATTCCATGAGTAGGGAGAGTGGGCAATGTCAGGGAAGAGCCACACTCCATAAATCCCATAAATCCCCAAAAATGCTCTCAATTCTATGAGTACAGAGAGTGGGCAATGTCAGGGAAAACCCACACTCCATAAATCCCATAAATCCCCCAAAACTGCTCTGAATTCCTAGAGTAGGGAGAGTGGGCAATGTCAGGGAAGAGCCAAACCCTATAAATCCCATAACTCCTTAAAACTGCTCTGAATTCCTTGTCAGGGAAGACAAGGAAGAGCCAAACCAATAAGTCCCATAAATCCCCAAAAATGCTCTTGATTCCTTGAGTAGGGAGAGTGGACAAAGTCAGGGAAGAGCCAAACCCCAGAAATCCCATAAATCCCCAAACCTGCTCTGAATTCCTTGTTGGGGAAGACAAGGAAGACCCAAACCCCATAAATCCCATAAACCCCCATAATTGCTCTGAATTCCTTGAGTAGGGAGAGTGGGCAATGTCCGGGAAGAGCCAAACCCCCTAAATCCCATAAATCCCCAAAACTGCTCTGAATTCCTTGACCAGGGAAGACAAGGAAGAGCCAAACCCCATAAATCCCATAAATCCCCCAAACTACTCTGAATTCCTTGAGTAGGGAAAGTGGGCAATGTCGGGG